TTATCTGTTGTTGTTCGATGTAGGATGGAGATGGTTCTCGTCTTGTTGTGTTCAGAATCGGTTAATGACGAAATTTCTTGCTTTTTTGCCATGCTTCGAGTATAATGTTTTCGTCCGTTGTTGTTCATGTACGACTTCGGGTTACTTACTGTGTTGTTGAATTGTCAGTAAGATCGGCTAGTGCTCCAATTGTAAGACTTGTTTTCTAATCACTCGGTTATCGTACTCTCCTTTATTTAGAAAAACACTCCACCATATATACCATCATTAAACCCGAAGAGAGATAGTTAGTACTAGATAGAAAGAGAGAGTTAGCACTAGAGAGAAAGAAAGAGAGTGAATAAGAGCATGAACACAGAGCAATATATGTTCCTTTGACCTGTGACAAGAGACATCAAGAGAAAATCGCATACAAGGAGAATAGAAGTGATGATATGATCTCACGAAAGGTGCAGATCATAACACGAGCTTTACACCATTACCCATTTCAAATTTCTGTATTCGACCATTGCCATGATCAACGACATATAGATTACCTTGACCATCGAATGCCAAATCCTGAGGATTATGTAACTGTTCTGGTTCATCGCCTGCCCCATATCCACCAACAACAATTCCTTGAGTAGTTCCTTCGTACCAAAGCATTACTCGATGGTTGTAAAGATCCGCTACATATATTTCACCCAAGTGATTGACGCTCACCCCTTGAGGGTCAGACAGTTGTGTCAGGTTACTTCCTTCATCATTTCCCCCCGCCACAACAATTCCTTCTGTTGCATGAGGTATCCATTTCATTACTCGATGGTTTGCACTATCTGATACGTATAATGAATAATCCTCATCAACGAAGATATAAGTAGGACAATTTAACTGGTTGAAACTATCACCTTGTTCATTTCCGCCTGCTACTATCGTTCCGTAATCATCTCCTATCCTCCATCGTCGTACCAGATGTTCATCAAAATCAGAGACATAAATATTCCCGTCCTTGTCCATAGCTAGACCCCAACAACCAATATCAGAGATGAGAGTTTGCCCATTTCTATTCTTTCCTCGATACCATCGCATTACTCGTTTGTTGTTATAATCAGAAACAATAAAACAATCATTTTCTTTATCAATTATCACATCCACTGGAAAATTCAATTGATTATTTCCATATCCTTCGCCATTTCCGCCTGCAATGAGTTCGAAACATGCGGAGTCTTGATTTAGTGCAACAATCCGATGATTTCCACTGTCAGCTATATAAACCCTCTGATCATCATCTACACATAGACCACAAGGGCCAGACAGTCCGTCCTCTTCACCATCATAACAATAACCGTCAGAGATATTAATTCCATCTTGTCGCCATTTCGTTTCTGAATGTAAATAAAAATAAATGCGGAAACTTCGGAATTAAATCCGAGAGTTATGTGTACTTCAAAAAGTGAATCATACAAATCAATCATCCTAGACTGTCTGAATATCAAAATCATACTGTGAAATCTACCATTTAAAATGTTGATTTATATTGCGCGTTGCCAAACCAATAGGATATGGGACCGAATACAACTCAAGTTTGAACTCTGCATCTTGATTTACTCTAAGAAAGTCGTTTTTCCTAGAACTTCATTTCTATTGGTGACTGCACAACTAATAGTATTCCGATGGAAGTGCAGTACACATTCGAGTTCTCCATACCTGAAAACCTCGAAGTATCATAAGTGTAATCGGAACGATAAAGCTCTATTTGTGGATCAATTAAATTGTGGACCAAAATATAACCTAGTTCTCTTTAATTATCTTTGTGATAGGTTAGTCAATGTTCTTGGTTCTTTATGTTTTATATATCATTTTGTAGTGCCTGAAATTTTCTATCGAATGGTAAATTATAGTTGGGGTTTTAATTGACTATGATAGGAAAAGTCTTTTACGAAAGTCGCGATGGGTCCATTTTTCCACAGAAACCTATAAGGAAAAATGGGTATTTTTGCAATAACTCAGGAACGGCTCGACCGGTCTTTCCCATCTTCGAACTTGACCGAGGTATTATCAAGACTAAGCTTTGTAGAAAGTTTCATCACAATCTGACTCTGCTGTCAAAAGTTATTATGTAAACAGCCAATCGGACGTTTGGACACACTGACTATTCTATAGTCTATGAACTTTTTGAGTACACAAAACTATGATTCGGTTCAAAACTAATATCAGATTCGGAATCAGCGTTAAAAACTGAGTCGATTTATATATGTTGTAAATAATTCTGAAAAAAAAATTTTTTTTTGAAAAAATCCCTGAACCCCCCCTCAGGGATGGTCTGGTCAAAAATCACAATTTTTTCGATAACTCAGCCATTTCTTGACGGATCCTGCTCATCTTTGAACTTGACCGAGACATTGTTAAGACTGAACTGTGTAGAAAATTTCATCGCGATTGGACTCTCCTTTCAAAAGTTATCGTGTTAACGGCCGGACGGTCGGACACACAGACCGATTTTAGTAGTGTACTCACTTTTTGAGTACACTAAAAAATGGAGTTATGGGAAAAGAAGAAAAAAATTATGAAGTAAAAACCCATCTTTGATAAGTTACTTTTGAAATAAAACTATGGAAAAACAAGACGATATATGATTTGTATAAAAGTAATTTGTTAGAATGATTCATTTATTTGAATAATGAAATAAATATGGAAATCTCGAATTTTAGTCCGAGAGTTATATGCACTTCAAAAAATGAATGAGACAGATGAATCATGATAGAATGTGTGGACATAAAAATTATATTGGCAAACTCTTTCTATAAACACGTGTTGTTCATTAGCTACTGCTCAACCACTAGGATTTCGGGACAAACATAGCTCATATTTGAACTATCGCTTCGATTTATCCTAAGTAAGTCATTTTTCCTATGACTTGATTACCATTGATCACTGTTCAAACCAATGGGATTTCAAAGCAAATGAAGTACAGGTTCGAATTCTCCGTCCCAGAAAACATCGAAGTGTCATCCCTCTGGTCGGAAGTTAGAGCTCTAATTGTGGAACACATAGAACGTGGACAAAAACAGAACCAATCGCCGTTTAATTATCGTTGCGATAGGTAAGTTAGACTTCTTGTTTCTTTATAGTTTACGTATTATACTGTAGCTCGCGAAATTCTCTGTCGAATGGTATACAATAATTGGAGTTTTATTTGTCTATGACAGGAAAAGTTTTTTACGAAAATGGGGATAAGTGGATCTTCGCATTGGAAAGCATAGAGAATAATGACTATTTTTGCAATAACTCAGTAACGGCTGGGCCAATCATTTTCATCTTAGACCGAGATATTGTTGAAACTATATAGTGTGGAAAATTTTATCACGATTGGACTCTTCCTTCAAAATTTATCGTGTAGACGGCCGGCCGGACACACTGATCAATTCAAGAGTATACTAACGTGATGAGTACATAAAAATCTACCTGTCAATCATAGTTGTTTTTAATAATTGTTTGATCTGTTAAAAAACTCCGCTCAACGTTGATGTTAATTATGAACTTGACAGAATCAGGAAATGGTTCTGTATGTTAAATTTTTTCTTCAGTCATTCTCAGTTTTGTTTAAGTAACAAAAGAATCAATCGCTTGGAAAAAACATCAGAAATATAAATGGATGAATCCCAACATTATTGAACCGTTTTTAGAAGAAAAATCAAGAAAAAAAAATTTTCGATTTTGGAAATTGTGAGTGATGCATCCTGGTGTACCGCATGGGAGGAGAGTATGTATAAGTTTTCCCGGCTGCCACTATAAGTATGATTGTGATATAAGCGAATCATTCAGAACCCATGAAAAATGCTTCAATACGACTTTTATTTCATTTACGTCGAAAAATTACTAAAATATGCGAGTTTTGCTGAAAGCGTTGAAAGTAGTTCAGTTTACATATATAAACAACTTTGTTTATATCACTCGAAATATGGTGAGAGTTATATGTTCGATAAAGCTCGATCACGTAGCTCTAATAGTGTTGTTTCTGATACGCAATCATCTTGGTTTCTTTCCGTGAATTGTGAGAAACAAATTAGAGAATGATCAGGCCAATAGGAATTGCACCGATTGCATGACCTATAATATCAATAACACAATCAACAAGACCAATATCTAATATCAAGTTTTGTAACTACAACAATTTTTGTATCTCTAAGCAGAGAAAAGTGTGTACTATGCATATATTTGCTATCGGTATATACATGCATTGAAAAATTAAAAAGTACATGAATTTTTTAATAAACATAATTAATAAAAAATAAGGACGCGTAGACCAACGACAAAATATCGATATATATCATCTATTGATTTATTACATATGAAATTTATTGTTTATGGTATAATAGTTGCATCAGTAAATACATGACAAATTATAACAAATATAATGTAATATATATTGATTGTGTTTATGAAAAGATCCATGTACTTTTCAATTTTTCAATGTATGTATATACCGATAGCAACTATATGCATAGTACACACTTTTCTCTGCTTAGAGATAAAAAATTGTTGTAGTTACAAAACTTGATATTAGATATTGATCTTGTTGATTGTGTTATTGATATTATAGGTCATGCAATCGGTGAAATAGCTATTGGTTGCGCTAAATTTATAACGTTATTATTGTTTCATTACATTTTTCAGAGAGTCAATCGGTCAAATGACATTTTTGTTCATTACACGTCAGTGAAAATCGAACTTTTGAACCTTGAGCATCCGATACCTCAGGGTCTGTGCGAGATAAATTTGTGATTTTTTTGTGTGGAAGTGAGTACTAACTAAAGACGTCTAACCTGAAAAATTCATAAAGATTGATTGAGAAGAACGGGAGTTATTAAACTTCTACATCTTAGGAATACTATGGTACAATAATTTTGCAATTCAATTAAATTATTCATACTTAGTTTCGGCGGTATTGATTTTGAAGAGCTCTTTGAAGTCGTGTTTTGTATAGTCGTACTAGATATTGGTTGAGCAACTGCATTTAATTTTGGTGATATTTCTTTTGCGATGGTGTTGGAATTCGCGCTTAGAGTGACTCCACCTGATGTCGATTGAACAGATGTGCTTGATTTAGACGAGATTTCTACTGAAAAAACGTCGGCGGCACTGTTTTGTGTGCTCATCTTCGATACCGATTGAGCCACTGTACTTGGTTTATGAGGTATTGAAGGAGACGAGATGTTAATAGATTTGGAAAACGGTGGTTTGATAAGTGTAATAGGTGGTGTAATTTCTTTCAGATGAATAATATGAAGTTCAGGAGCAGGATTTACTTGACCGGTAACTTCGAAATAAGAACCTGGCATAAGAATTATTTCTTTTTCTGCATTTTTGAAATATGAATGAGATGCTACCGATTTTCCATTTATACATTCAATTGAAAAAAGGGTACGTTGCCCATGTTTACCCAAAATTTGATCTGATTCAAGTACTTCCATGTTAGTAGTACATGAAATTACTCCCCACCATGCAAATTTTGTACCAGTTTTGTATTTTGAACTTAAATCAATATCTCGAACACCACGCCATACGATAACACTTTGTGACGGTAATTTATATAAAGCAGTCATAAATAATTTGAAAAAAGAAAACCATGGTTTCAAAGCTTCACGATTTTCACCGCGTAATGATCGATTAAGTAAAAGATATAAACTGGGACCGTCATCAAAATGCATTGTATATAGATGGATCGAAGCAGATTCATCTCGAGTTAGCTTATCATCTGGATTCTGACAATTGTGTAAAGCGACAAAAACATTATCTTCAATTTCATTGAAAAATTGGGAAACAGGTTGAACAGCTTCAATGAGTGGAACAAGTGGTTTATCTTGGTAACCTTTTATTGGTAGTAACAGATGATCGACAGGTTCATCCAAAAGATCACTGAAACGCGAATGTTCACCAGATTGTAGTGACTTTGCCATCCCACGCAATTGAAATCAAAAAAAAGAAAAAAGCGACATAAACAAAGATATAGAAAACAGTAAATGAATTATTTTGATAAAATTTAATTTAAAAACATGGAACTAGAGATGTGGCGGGGTTCTAAGAGACACTTTATAAGAGAATCGAGCATTGGCCTAATACGTCATAACATGATTTTTTCTAACATATTCTTTTTTTATTTCATTCGATTCTACGTGAAAAACTGTGGTTATGAAAATTTTTTTAGACCTTCATACTCTATACTCATTGAGTTATAGGCATTTCAAGAGAAGCACCCTCAAAAACCCAGAAAAAAGAAAATTTTTCAGTAATTTTGACTTTTTGAAGCCAAATTAGATTGAGTAATGTTGGGCAACGTCTTATTTGAAAGAGCGTTAAAAACTGCATCGATCGGTATATCTGAAATGTCTGAGCAGTTCAGCTTTTTTAGAAAAAATTTTTATTTTTCGGAAAAAAAAGTTTTTTTTTTTAAGAAATTTTTCAGTATTTCATTTTTTTAAAGAGTGCTTTTAAATTAACAAAAAATTTGACTACTGACTCTTGTAGAGCATTCAATGCTGCACAAAATGAGCTTACTCTCAACGTTTCAAATGGGGGGCAACAGGTCGAAAGTTAAGGAAACAAAGTTAGCGAGTAGCGATATTCAAGTACAACTAGCGTTAAAAACACTCTGTTTCCTGATATATTTTTCAAAAAGAATTACATATTCGGAATCAGCATTAAATTCTGAGTAAAATGAGGTAGTTTTTCTTACGGAAAAACGACTTTTATTTTCCACGGGTCATTGGGGACCTCTAGGGGACCCCAGGGATTGTCGAAAAAAACTTTTTTTCGAGAAGTTTAATAAATTTAGCAT